AAAGACACCATTACTGACCGGCGGAGACCTGATATATTACTGAGTCAATAAACTATTGAACATGAAACAGGACCTTTCAGGAGAATTTTTTCCTCATAACCCACAAACACATATATTATTCTTGCACAGTCAGCACTTCTTTGGTGCCCTTATATTTCATATTACTAATTCTTTTAATCATGCATACATACTGCAGTGTTTTATAACCTAGTTAATGAGTAATCAGACAGGTGACATTGGGACTGAGACCCTGAAGTGTCAGGCGTAATACAGCAGCTTTTTTTTTTTTTTCCCTTCGCAAGTTTTTTGTGAGTAAGAGGTAGTAGAAGAGCAGATGAGATAGGAGGGAGAGAGGAAGGACTTCTGTGTCTGAAATTTATCAGAGAAATACAGGCTTAAGTGAATAGCTGATATACAAATGGCTTTAGATTGCTACCTGATGCAAATAAATAAATAAATAAATAAACCCAACACATTGAAAGTAACCATGAACTCCTTTAACTGACAACAAACAAAGAATTCAGCCTAGCCAAACTGATGCTGATTTTCTTTAAGTTAGTATAGTTGAGGCAATTCTATTCACATGCAGATATAGTGATGGGGGAAAGGGAGCAGGTGTTTGCCCTTGGCAGCAGCAGGGGCATTCATAAAGCTCCAGTATCTCTGTGGCTATAGGTACCAGGCACCCTTCCCCCACCTTCGCCCCCAAGTAATCATTGATTGCATCTAAATCTATAGAGATATCTTTTCCTGGCAGCTCTGGTAGTTACAGTAGATTGTTAATCTGTGAATGATCAGAATAAGCCTCTCTTGTCTCAGAAATCTCCATGCAAATTACAGCTAAATGCATGCCATAAATTTGTAAGTAGCAGTTTGAAGTGCACAGGTCATCTTCTACACTATTTAAAAACATACATCTGTTGCACTTGGAGAAAAAAAAAAAAGAAATCTTACTTCATTTATATTTGCTTTTCTCTGGGCCTGGCTGTCCCTTCTTAAAGTAAACCTGCGTAGTTTCAAAATCATTTTAAAGAGAGGTGGGGTGTTAATAAGATATATTATTGAGGCAAAATTTTAATCTCAGTATGGGACTATAGTTTTAGCATCATTGCTTTGAAATCACTTCTTTCTTTTGCTGTGAAATAGGGAAATACATGTGAGTTTGACAAATATAATGGGCTGAAAGGCAAAGGATTATGACTAGATACTGGGGTAATTGATAGATGCAGAAGTAAGTTACAGTATGTTTCATGACGTAGTCCCACTGTTGTATCTCTGTCCTTTCATCCTGTTTTGGGAACACGTCAAACCATGACTCCTTTCTGATTTAACTGAGTTACATCTTGGGTGAATGTCAACAGGGAAGCTTGAGAATAACCTTTGGGTCTTGTGGGGGGGGAGGGAAGAGAGACCTGTACTCCTCCTTCTTGTGTATTTTTGCCTCCTTGCTTCACTCCTGTTTTTCAGCAAGCCAATACGCTGCTATGGGAAGACATCCCTAGTAACATTGTCCTTCAGGCATTTGATTCTAAATCCGGAAATTTGCTGAACACCTACATAATCCTCCTTTTTCTCTCATAAAGGAAACAGAGACGTTCTTTCAAAGAATTTAGGAATGTGTTCATCTTCATGGAATAACTGAATATGTTATTATTGACTATGCATTTTTGTTGTCATTGCCCAGGCAAACTGATGTGTCTTTTTGAAAGCAAATGAATCTTCGCTTAGAAGAATGAAGGAGGCTGCAAATGTTAGGATGTTTTTTTTTTTGCTGTGCAGTTAGTTCCTTTCTATCCTATATGACAAACCTGAACAGGGAGGGGAGAAAAACATTAATATGTGTTCTCTTTTTCTCTTTCCAGGCCATCCGCTGTACACTGGTAAATTGCACGTGTGAATGTTTTCAACCGGGGAAGATTAACCTGAGAACCTGTGATCAGTGTAAACATGGCTGGGTGGCACATGGTAAGAAACCTCTGTTCTGGTCTTGCTGTCATGATTCTGTCTTTCTAAAAACCTTTAACTAACAAAGCTGGAGAACGTGCAACAGTCCTGTCTATCAGTATATGCATCTGTGTGCAGTATGCATGTGTGTGCACATGCATGTACCTGCTTTTTTACTATAGCAATGTCTAGGATGGAAAAGAAAACGCCAGTTACCCTGGCCATGGCTACAAGTGCTGGTGGAGTTTAACAGCTTGTGCACAGCTCAAAGAGTGTATTCTGCCTGCAGGAAATAATGCTGTGCTAACAGGTCTCAGCAGAAAGGCAAAAAGTTTATAGGATGTTGCACAGCAGAGTTCATGTTGCAGATCGGCATCAGCTAGCAAGTTGCTGAGCCTGATGGAAATTCAAACATCCTCACGTCAGCCTTTCGTAGCTGGGGTGTCAGAATGAAGCCAGGGTATCTTACTTGGCTCATCAAAAGTGTGCACGTATGATTTGCAAGGTGAACCTCTCTTCCCCATGTGTAAGTAGATGAAGAAAGCGGAGAGAGATCAGAGTATCTCTAGCTCTGACCTAAAGACAGAAATATATACTAATTGCTTAGAGTTCTCTTTTTATCTATCTTTTGCTATATTGTGCATTTGGCTTATTTTTTTCTACAAAGTCACTGAGAACTGAGGGAGAGAGGGATCATGTTCAGCAGAGCCTCCACAGACAAAATTAGAAGGCAAATAAGGAAGACACCTACATTCTAAAATGATTAAATGAGAAAGAGAGGAAAAAGAAAGAAAGACTGCTGTGTTTGGTGAAGAAATTAGTGCCTGAGGTTTCTTCTCACAGTTCAGGCTATTGGCACCTAAGCAAGCATACTCTTCATTCCCCACTTCTGCCAAGCATTCAGTGGGTTGTATTTTATAAATTTCATTTTACTTTGATGCGATCTGGGGTGGGAGTTCAGTTCCTCCCTCCTAACATGCTCGTGATTTCTGTTGGCTTAGTGCACGTCTGTGTGCGGTTGTGCCCGAGCGGGCTGACAAGTGCGAGCACTCAACCAGACCAGACAACAGCGAGCGGGACAGGAGCTTTTAAAACACTCACATACCTGGAGAGGAAGGCACGAGGTTCAGAGCAGTCCTGTGTCCCTTCACAGTGATGTACACAACCTCCCCAGCCATCCCCCGCAGCAGCGAGCTGGCACTTGGTTGCAAGTTTATAATATACTAGAATCTCTGGGGACACGGATTGTTTTTGTTCCACTTAATTCCCGGCAATGTATCTTCAGAGATGGTGTGGCCACACTCGCTCCTCGCGGAATTTCAGGAGTTGGGGCTCGATGTAGGCATTGCATAGAGCCAGCATCCGCAGGATCCGCTTGTCTGATCCACAGATAGTGCCGGCTTGTCCAGCTATTTTCCAGGGTGACTCTTCCCACTGAGCAGCAGCAATCAGCAGTCTTGACATTTGGATTCTGGCACACAAGCTTCCCACTTTTTGTTTTCAGCCGTTACTCCTTAGAAGTAATGTGTGGTCAGATTTTTCTGGTAAATTCTTCCTGCGAGGCGGTTGGATTCAAAATCGGAATATGTGAAAGTAATCTGAGATCACTGCAGCGTGCTTGACAGAAATGGCCAAGTCCAAAAAGCTGGAATGAGAATGTGATAACTGGGGTGCACCATCTGCGCCCAAACCTGAGCACTTCACATTCACAGTAGGAAAACTAAGTACTGCTGCATATTAATGTGGAGTATTTGTTTTACTACAGCACCCAGAAGAGAATGCTCTAGGTTTGTTTTTCTGGATTGGGATTTTTTTTTAGTGTTCTGCTTACTTTTAGCCCCTCCCCACATTTTTTTTAAGATCTTTTTAGTTCTTGGTATTGCTTCATTTAATTCATTTACATTTTCTGGCAGAGCAAGGCCAGTCAGATGGACATTTCATACACATAAGACATTCTAGGCTTATAAATTAGTTCCTAAAGATTGTGATGCATCTGTTTCAGTTGCTGCCCTTAACTGTTTTCCAGAATTTTGAGAGCAATGTTCAGGAGACTGATTAATTCACTGTAGCATAGCACCTGGATTTGAAAATCACAGGATTGAGCTGCTACTCAGAAGTGATTTCCTTTAAACCATTAACAGTGTACTTCTAGAAGTTGTTCCTTGAATGCAAATAGTATTTCCTGCTGCTTTAATTGAAGGATTTTCTTCTGATTTTTATTAATGAATTTCAGCTCAGATCCTTGACACATGAGGTAGTGCTTTGTTGAATGCAATTATCAAAGAATAGGTGTTTCCAAAAGGAAGTACCATGCTTATTCAGTTTTGATAACCTAGAATCATAATTAACTGAATAGTTCAAAAATAGCTTAGAACTGCAGTCTTCTCATGCCTTGCTTGACTGATCTGTGTAGAGTTAATGCATGTTAATAGTTGCCTGTTTAAAATGTTGGAGTTCCTGAGTGAGAAGGAAAGGGCATGCAGCCACCGTGGCATTATTAAACTTAGCAACTATTAGACTATTTTCGTTTTTCCTTGTTTCCATTGTCTTTCTCATGTTTTCCTTCCTTCACCTAAAACGAGCTGCACACGTCTTGAAAGGGAAGGTTTCCTACCAGTTCATTTTTTTTTCTATTTTGAGGTGCCAAAAGTAGGATGTCAATATATGAACAGATTCATCAAAGGAGTTCTTCTGTGGCAAGATAAATGTTTATGTTGGCAGAAGCTCAGTTTATTGAGTTTTGACCCTGTACCTTATGCTATAGTGGTAATCCTACCATCAGGGTTTTTAAGACAGAAGCCAAAAGCTGTACAGAATATAGTGGCTTTCTCTAGTACAGCTATGCTTAGAGAGGAATTGGGTATTTCTAGTGAGAATATCTGGATTTCTAAAGGGATTTGGAGAATTGGAATATTAATTCTTCTTTTTTCCAGCTGAAATCTAGTTTTCATATTGTTAGTTTGGATGGAGATTTATTTACTAAAACAATCTTTTTTTTTTTTTTAAATTGGATAAGCCATTTTCTAAGCCTCAAGCAGACACACAGACAATAGTTACCCATTTTTCTTTCCCTTTCTTATGGTTAAGATACTTTATATAGCATGAAAAATAAATCTAGTAAAACCTTAATAGTGGAATTGTGTGGGAAAATATAGGAAACTGCTATTTTGTGTTTTTAAAGAATGTAAAAGCAAGATGACTGAAAAAAAAAAGTCAAGACTTTCTTGGTTTCTTTACCTGATATTATTATATTACAAGTAATAGACTTTAAGGAGATAGTCATGACCTTTTACTAGCTTTGGCACAGAAATTCACTTACTCAAAGGTCATAGGAAATAATGAAAAAAAGAAAACCTGTGATCCGCTTTCCCTAGCCAAAATATCTTAGCCTATGAGAAATTATGAAATTCATCAGTAAAGCAGACAGTTGATTTCACTGGCTTTACATTCTGCCTTGTATGCTTGTCATTGATGCAAGAATAAGGATTACTGTGCTACTAGCAGAAATACTTTTATTGTATGTGGTTCAACAGATCAAGAGACCCAATGCAGTATCAATAAGAGATACAGTCTACCCTCGTTTATAACCATTTAGCCCTTAAAAAAAAAAAAAAAAGTATGTTAGGATGAAATACAGCATAGTGTGCTAAAACTGTTGGACTCTCATTTTTCTTTAGTAAGCTGAATTGCAGTTATTTTAGTCTTTATAATTATTAAAAGACCACAGTATAACAATTGTATTATTTTTTTCCAAAAACATTGTTGCATTGTTTCAAAGAGAGTCAGAATAGTAAAAGCATTAGTTTCATATCTTATCCTCAGAGTGGTCACTGGTAAAGCTTAATTAGACATCAAAGACTAGAACCTCCTTTTTAGATATTTTTGGTATATAGTGCATTCTCAAACCACCTGAATTCCACACTATTCCGTCTACTCAGTGAAATGAGGTAGACTGTGAATATTTTGCTGTCTTCCTTGTGCCTTTTTTTTTTTCTTCATCAGAGCAGGCCAATCATCATTCCAATCAGGACATCTCTGAGCTGGGCTCTCCATACTAGTATGCTTTAGGGCCTCTGTCAGGTGCATCTCCGTGTATGGGCTCTTCTTTGGCTGAGGATTGGCCAGGCCTTTTCTCTAGTAACTTCAAGTTACTAGGCCTTTAGGTTTCAATACGATAGGCACTGACTCGTAGGTTGCAGCTCATAGTGCAAATCCATTAGTCCCTCTTGGTTGGGAGGTTGCCATCCAGTGAGCACTCATGCTCGGAAACTCACTCTGTGGGTTTACACTTCCATCCTGGAAGAACGTTTCCTCTTGTCAGTGTTTGAACAGTGCAGGCATTGGCTTGTTGTGAATGAGACCAACACTCAAAGCATCGGCCATGGCACCCGGGGGAGAAGGTGCTATCACAAATTCACACACATGGCATGACGGCTACTTCTTGTTCATTCCAAGTGAATGAGCGGCTGTTTCTATATGGTAATTTGTAGAGTTGTCAGCTGAGACAGTGGTGAAGACAGAGCAGAATAAAGGAAAGACATTAAATAAATAGATAAAGCCAAAAGAAGCGCTGTGGAAAATTCGGAAACGGCATCTTTCCTTACCCTGAAGCTGCTTGGAGGACTTGGTTTAGGAGGAAGATTTAGGCTTTTAATGTGAGCTGCATGGAGCTGAGAGGAGAAGCGAGAGAAGTGCTATGTTGAATTAAAAGTCAACTAAAATTTGTCTCAGTCCAAAGCTATTAAGTGAACAAGATCTGGGTTTGCAAAGTCAAAGGTCAACTCCAATTTAAAAGAAAAAAAAAAAGAGCCCTCCATTGTTATATATCTTAGAATCTCTTTAAAAACAGGCAGAACTGCCATGTTTTTCTTTCCTTAGAAATGAAGATAATATAGGAAAAATATTAACAGGGAAAAGGGAAATGTAATCCTATTATTACAATTTTGTGGTAGAATAAATGGGTCATATTATATATATTATATTGTTCCATAGGATTTAAAAGCAAATCACGACCTTAGCAT